TGCTGCTGCTGCTGATGGTGCTGTTCGTGTACATACAACAGTTGCTGCCCTTTTTCGGAGGTAGTGCCGGCGGGGGTGTCAACCCCCTGTGGCGAAGGGCTCAAGCCTCCCAAATCGCCCGTCTTTCGTTTCTCACGTGCTGTTTTCTCTGCCTCCGTGTAGTGTGTGCTTGTGCTCATTGTTTGTCCCCGATATCGTGAGGCCCGCAAGCGTAAAAATTTGAGGGTGTCGCAAAAACGAACAGATACATCCTTTCAGCGCTGTAACTCTTTTCACAGTCATTCGCAATTATCCGCACCCGCGCGCGGGGACTTTTGGCCCCGGGGTGTTTTTAGTTTCGATGGAAAGTTTCCCCCCCTCTCATCAGTGAGAGTGACCCCGGGGACGTTCGTTCGTCCCCTTGGAGCATTGTCAAAGGATGAACTCACGGTACTCACAGCGGTTGTCAAAGTGTTGAAAGTTGGGGACATTTGGGGTATCCCCACCGCCAAGAAACGCGACTTGTGCCCAGCGTTTGTGCGGCACAACAAACCGATGAGGCAACTCACGCATTCGTTGCGTCGCAATGCACGCCCCCCTTTGGCATATTTCGCCCTGCATCACCCCAACAACTTCGATCTACAATCTCGCTCCATGACAGGAGGGGGGGGCAGCAATCACGCCGTATCGATGTGCCCGGCGAATCAATTGGCGCTTCCAAACTTCCAAAGAATATAGACTAAATGACTTGGTGACTCCCGCTGTGTGCCCACCGAAAACACCAACAAAATACCGGGCGCCGGCACTATACTCGTACTGTTCAACTGGCACCAAACCAGCGAAGTAGCCACCTCCGTAGTCCACCCTTCAGACATATTTTAAGTGCAGACTAATGCTGCTGTGTACCGCTGGAAAATAGAGGATGTACGTAACCTGATGAGGCAAATGGCAAAGAAAGAGAATGAAACCGCAAGGGGACTGCTGAGAGCCTGCTCTGCAGGCTTGATCTGCAACAAATCATTGGTTATTACCGCCGACTCCGGACACGTGAATGTAGAAAATGCTGGAGATTACTATGTAGTTTTCCTGTTCCTTGCTTCCCCAACACAGCGGATAACCCGGGTGCCTTAATGGTGTAGACTACGTACCTGCATCGTGGGAGATCCCTTCAATGTGGAACGATTCCTAGTCAGTGCCAATGTTTACACTTCTGTGTCTAGCACAGATGATCTGGATAGATTCGGGCGATTGTCAATTGCAATGATGCCTTTGGTTGGTTGTTCTTCTTCATTGTTTATCCACGGACTCATTCTGACAACAACAACAAATCTACAGGAGGGGCCTCGGGATGCAAAAATGTTGCGAGCTTGATGTGGCTCGTTCGTGCAATAGAAGGTCTCTCCAAACGTACAGCACGCGTTACATCTTCCTGGGCATAGTCTAGAAATGTGCGCGTCGGAGAAGCACGACGGTGTGCTCAATAACAAGAGAAATATGTACTTCGCAAGCGAGCCCGACAGCCCTGTATGCACATGCCGCCCTGCGCGCAACACTTTGTAACTCCGAAAAACATAGAAAATAATCGATCCCTCGTGTAACACTGGAGACTTGTTCGCGATTGCCGACAGCGGTGGCGTGTGGATCCGCCCGCTCACAACGAATCTTGGCGAGGTCGATGCATGGGCGTATGGTGTGCTGCCCTCTGCCACATATCTCATCAATACCACGATGTTTCCTCATCTACATCTACACGGCGGCGCGTTCGAGAACTTCTCTCTCTGTACGGACGGGTTCCGAATTTCGCATTCATAAGATGTTTCACATCTACGCGCACAACACTTGTTATATTCATCAACGACATCGACGGAACGCTCGTTGTCATTTTTCTCGTTTCTCCTTTTCATGGAAGAAAACGTTGGAAAAAAATTTACATGGCATGCGAATAGAGACTACTGCTGCTGTATGTACCCTGTTCAAAAGAATACCAAGCAGTCTCGTTCTCTCTCTGCTCCTCGCGGGCTTCTCCCCTCGTGCCCACCTCCATGTCCGTGAGCGTCACCACAGGAAGGCTCGTGATTGCAGACCTCCCAACTGTCGCCGCCGCCGTATCCTCGCCCGAAGCCTGTGTCTTGGCGGCGTGTGTTCCGCCTGAAGAATGTGGTCGCTGGTTGCACGAGCATTGCTGCGGCGCATTGAAGTGTTCAGGCTCCCCCGGATACCAGTCCGGCTTTGAACTGGAGGTACCCATGCCTAGCAAAAGCAGCAGCAGCAGCAGCAGCAGCAGCAGCAGCTGTTGAGCATGTTTCGTCGCTTAAAGCAGGCAGGGGAGTGGAGGGGGGGGAGGCGCGGGATGGGGCAGGTTGTAATTTCACACATGCATACACGGGAAAACCACTGGCAGCGGTGGATTCTGATGCAGCTCTCTGTTCAGCCACTGCTACATCACACACAAACCCAGCAACTAATAATGCCGAACACAGTACAACCATTCGGATGCCCGCGATCTTGGCTTGTCCATCCAAGAGTAGAGTCAGAGCTTTGTCGATGCCAACAATGGAAGGTGGCCAGAAATAATGCCAACGGTAGATTCTGATCCTCTGCCAGATCAAGACCACAAGCCTTGTCATCGTGCGCGCCATCGGGAATGTCCCGGCTGTTGTCTGAATACGCATAAGTATGCCGTCCGGTGGCTGATAGCTAAGGAAACAGAATATCCACCCTCTCGATCTATGAGGGAGCTGTTACTACTGTTTTGCACTCGAGAAGGAGCGCGTAGCTGACAGCAGCAGCCCTCCATGCACCGGATCGGCGCGTGGGGTAGCCTCAACAAAACCGCGGCCGGACCCGCGGGCACAACGTCTCTGCATTCTGAACCTTCCTCTCTCACCGGTTTTTCCTCGGTATGTCTTTTCCAATATTTTCACACGAGAGAGCGCCGTGCGGGCCTCTTTTCACCACCACCACAAGCAGAGACCGTGGGGGGGTGTCGCTGTTGTCTGCCGAGCAGCAGGTCGGGATGCTCGCGCACTCGGACCCGCGGCCTACTCGGAGCTCCCCGATATCCGATGATCGTGTCGTGTGCTTGGTTGGGGTTTCAAGGTTGTTGTGCGCGGGAAGATCCTCCATTGCTTGATTGTGGTATTGATTACAATACAGTGGTGGACATGGACACGAGTTTAATGTGAAGAAAAAACAACAACAAACCATGGACAGATGCTCTCGAAACGGTGAAGCGTTGAAGCGTTCCTTTGGAGAAAATACTCAACTATTTGCCAGTGGTGTGGGTGGTGCGGGTGGTCTGCCTCGTCTCTTCCGACGGCTCCGGCGTGTAATGGTTGACGGAGCGTCCGGTCTGATAACAAGGAAAGCCAGTTTGCTCTCACGGAGGTGCGGAGATAAAAAGGAAGGGAATCCATCACCCATCAGGTGATGTAGCACCTCTACGACTGTAGCCACGGCTAGCCGCGGCTACCCTGCCCCACGATATGTAGGAACAAATCACCCGCGGGATAAATGATTAAGCCGAGCGGGGTGGGTGTGTCTCGGTCGCAGCCTTTGCGTCCAGATCTCCCCTCAAGTCACAGCAGCAGCAGCTGCATTCAGCTGTGGACCAACCAACCAACCGTGGACGGGACGGAGCCAACCTTCGCAACATATATCGTAAATCGGTCGACAGGATCGCATCTTGCATCATCAGGTGGTAGTGGTGGTGGAGGTGGTGCTCGGCAGAGTATACCATCTACGGGGCCTCCGGGGGGTACGCGGATGGAATGTATTGACAGACATGCTGCATGGCGATGGTGTGGCCTACCGCATGGCTCTTACTCTCTAAGCAACAAGGTCTTGAGTCAACCTTCTTTCTCTTTCGGCCTCTGACGAGCTACCGCACCACAACACAATATATTGTAAGGCCTGGTGTTGGTAGTGGGTATTGGCGTCTGAGCGGTGGGAGCTGGGCCATCGGGGCAGCGGACACCATTTTCATAGCTGGGATCGCGGCCAAAGGGGGCGAGGACAGCAGTGCATAGCTGGTGCGGTGGCCATTGCGGGGACCGGGACAGCAAGGTTTATAGCTGGGACAGCACTTCGAGGCTGGGACAGCAGGGAGGGTTTAGAGTTTTAGTTTGATATGTCTGGAACGGAGGAGGACGCAACTCTGAGCGCGAGGTTGGATGAGGCGCTACGAGCTATAGAGGAGGCCAAGGCTGAGACGAAGGAGGCCAAAGCTGAGACGGAGGAGCTTAGGGCAGCACAGCGGCGGTCGGCGGGTGCACCTGCCGGCAGCAGCTCAATAGGCGACAGTCTAGATGCTCCTGGAGGGGCTTCATCTGCACCGGTGAGGCCAATGTGGCCAGGCGGGGTGAGTCATGATGGCGGTACTGGGGTGCCGGGTTTGCCTCTGGGAGGTACAATTGTCAGAACTCCTGTGCCTAGAATCCCGCCTAATTGCACCGCCGACACTTTTCTCAGTTGGCGGAGACGCTTTCTGGCCTACGTGGACAACCACAATCTCCAGCACACAATCTTCGGCAGTGCTGAGGTTCCCGTTGTCAGTTGTCAGGATGAAGGATACTTCACACGTCAGTATAGTGCACAGCTGGTTGTTGAGCACAAGAGGACATGGAGTTTTATCTTGGAGGCAGCGGTGGGGGCCCCATTTGAGAACAACCTGTACTCTTGCCATTCCGCGGCAGAGGCGTGGAGGATGATGGAGGATTAGTTTTCGCCGAACCACCCAGCTGATTGTCAGCTCCTCGTCGCCGAGCTAGACAATGTAACCATGAGTGATGATGAGGACCCCAAGCTTTTCTTCTCGCGCGTCGCACAACTGGAGACCAAGTTACGGGCTGTGGGCATTGCTAAGAGTGACCAGGAAGTTGTGCAGATCCTTGTGCGCCAACTCCCCGCACGCTACGATGTCGAGAAGCGCACTAGTCTTTCCAAGCGTGATTTAACCCGCGCTGAGTTGCAGGACGTCGTGCGTGGTCGATATGCCACGCTCAAGGCCAGCGAGATGAGGGAGCGAGGGTCGGCAGCTTTGACGCCGGCGGTTTCTGTCAACCCCCATGCTCTTGTTGTGGGCCGTGGTTTTGGACACGGCGGCAACGGGGGGAGCGGGGGGGGCGGAGGCCAACGGCGGAATGGCAACAACTGCGACGGCCGCGGGCAACACTGGTCCTCTGGGGGCGGTGTTGTCCAACAGCAACAGCCGCAGTTGCAGGTGCAGCAATACCGGCAGCCGCAACAGCCGCAGCGACACATGCAACAGCCGAACCAACAGCCGCAGCGGCAGGTGCAACAGTCGTACCCACAGCCGCAGCAGCAGATGCGACAGCAGCAGCCGTACCAACAGCAGTCGCAGATGCAGCCGTACCGGCAGTCGCAGCAGCAGCCGCAGCAGCAGCGGCAGCAGCAACAGCCCGCTTTGAACGGTGTTGGTGGCAACTACGATTGCGGTAGTAACGCCGTGTATCATCAGCCGGAGTCACTACCTCCACCTGGCGCGCCGATGGGCACAGTGCACAGATGCGGCCGCTGTGGAAGGCACGGTCACCACGCCATAGATTGCGCCGCCCCCCGCAGGTTCGAGGGCACGTGCGGTGCATGCGGCCAGTACGGTCACATGTGGCGCAACTGTGCCAAGAGCAACCGGCACCCCCACCTCAACGTCGTCACTTCTGCTGGTGCCCTCGGTCCGGAGTACGCGTACACCGCCGCGGATACATCGGCCGTCCAATTTCGTGATGTCCCGGCGGCCGATGGCGTATACTACAGTGACACCATGCTGGCCGGCGCTGGTGGCGGCGGCAACGGTGGTGGTGGTGCTGGCGGTGGCGGCAGCGGAGGTGGCAATGGCGGTGGTGGCGGTGGAGCGATCGTCCAGCAGCAGGTCGTGACACCGGGCGAGCCCTACTTTGATTTTGTCGACATTTTCCACGGCAGCGGTGGCGCGGAAGGTGAAAATGGCGGCGGCAGCGGTGGTAGTGACGCGACGGGAGCGGGCCCTGAGGCGCTTGGCAACGGCGAGGGTACCTTCGGTGGCGGTCTCTTCGCGATGCACCTTGTCTGTTCCGTTACCTCATCCCCCCCCGTGCGCGAACCATCCGACCTTTTCCCACATCGCCCGGGTTCGACGGTCTTCCTTGGAGACACCGGCGCCGTAGTCCACGTGGTCCCTTCTGGGGAAAAGGTGTACAACAGGCGCCCGCCGCTCCCGGAGGAGCGACTACTCATGCTTGGCGACGGTAAGCACATCCCGGTAGAGTTTTTCGGTGACTTGGATGTGATCTGCCACTGCCCTGAGGACGTGCGCGTCACCCTGCAGAATGTTGGTGTGGTACCGGGTTTGGCGCTAGATATTCTGTCGCTGAACAAGATCCAGGATCGCCATGAGATCAAGCTTAACCGGCATGGAGCATCGATCTTGGGGGGGCGAGTGCGCATGACAAAATTCCCTCACGGGAATTACATCCAGGGGACTCGCGTTGATCCACTGCCTCAACGCGACTCACCTCCTCAGCCCCCCGCGATGGTTGCGGCGATGCTACGGCCTGGCACGCAATCCAGCATCGACTACAACGCTCTTCACTGCTCCCTCGGTCATGCCAATTCCAAGACGCTGTACGAGACTGCCAAGCAGATGGGTGTCAAGGTGACCGGCACTCCGGAGTACTGCGATGGATGTGCGGAGTTGAAGGCGATCCAGCGCTCGGTCCCCAAGGTCATCTCCCCCTCCCGCCGGACGACGCGGCCTGTTGAGCGTGTCGCGATGAACCTAGCCGGTCCGTTCGGCCAATCCAGCGGCGGTGCCAAGTACGTGATGCAGATCCTGGACCACCATACCAACTACGGATGGATTTGCTTTCTGCGGGAAGAGAGCGGTACAAACGTGGTTGCGGCCTTTCGTGCGTGGTATGCCTCCATCAAATCGCTCTTGGCTACTCACGGGGGGCTGGGCTGTGTTCTGACCGACAACGGCACGGAGTGGGTCAACGCGGAGTTTCGGGGGCTGCTGGCGGAGCTGAACATTACGCGGGAGCTCACGGCGGTCGACGGGCCCAAGAGCAACGGTCGTGTGGAGCGGAGGATTGCACTAGTGATGGAGGGGGGCAAGGCTGCGTTTCTGGAGTTACCGAAGCTTTTCCCCGGAGTTATGTTCTCGACCAAGGCGCTTTCCTTCCGGGCCATCTGGCCCGAGGCCTTCGCGTCGATGAACGACTCTCTGAACATCGCAGCGGAGGTGAGCAAGGAAGACAAGCGGTGCCCGGAAGTTAAGCTGTACGGCAGGAG